CTCTCATCTCTCCTCGTTCATACCTTGAGATTCATATCATGACTAATACCATTAAAGTCAAAAATATTCCATGGGAACGACCAACATTGTTTTAAAGTTTAACCTTCAACTGACTGATGGTAAACAAATTCCATGCATCTCTGTCGCCATTTCTGTTAATATTTTGCTGTCATTCATATCATCCACTTCTCCATCCGTTAGCTTTTGAGGATATGTGTTAGAATAGCTGTTCTTAAATGAAGGCTTCTCTCCCTTGAGAGCATAAACTCTATAACTTTCTGCATACTTTATGTTTGAACCTCCTGAGCCATCATTGAATAAATTTTTATAGGCTTCCACCCTTTGTTCATGTTCCTGCTTCTTCCCTTAGCTCTTTTGTTCAGTAGTTCTACATCTTTATACACAGCACCTGTCTCAGTGAATTCAACAATATTTTCATTCGTTAGCTTTACATTCAACCCTTGTCGAGTATATTGTTCATTTCATACATATAAAAGGTTTTTTTCTATATGAAATGAGAAGCAAATCCATCTTAGCTGGTGCCGTTAATGTTCCAATTGAACCAACATCAAATGTTGACTCACGAACGACAAACAATTTGTCATAAAGAACTATAGTTCAGAGTGTTTGAAAGAAAAAGAACCAGAACTGAAATCCGTGAATTTAAACTCAGCTTCAAACGCTAACGCTACATCAGATGTTAAGTTAGAGTATCCACCACTGGACCAAATTCTTTCAAGAGAAGCCAACGACAACCCTTACACAAATGTTCAAAACAAATCCTTCAGATAACGTAGACCATTACCTTCTTCAGTTATACCAAACAATTTTACTCAAAGACGATAAGAAGCTTTTGACAAATCTTATAAGCAAGAACCAAATAATTCTAACAAAGGAGGACCTTGAAAATGTTATATCACGAATAACAGGAAACAATGTGTCATTGACTATCTCGACCCTGAAATCGAATGCTGTGGTCAAACGCCACCATTCATGAAAATAGGTAACATCCGCATCATTGAAACACCAGGAACTACAGGAGTTGAGTTTAAGTATAAATATTCGAATGAATATACAAAACTTTCAACAGAATATAAACTTTGTTTGAAATATGTTTTAGTAAATTAAAGCAATTTGTAATATCTGTCCAAAACTTCTTCAACAGTATCGAACTCATCTTCATAATGCAAACCTAATCTTATTGACTTGGTGCAGTTTTCACTAACACAATATAGCGCTTTGCGCTCGGCGCCTTTGACGCTTTTTCTGTTCTCTTGACTGACATAACTAATTCATTTGTTTCATCAAACAGCAACAACCAAAGTTCATGACCTAATACATAACATTCATACTTTATATTTTTAGCTCTGAGTTCTCTTGTAAGCTGTTGCATTTAATATTTTCTAAAAAGTCAACTTCAACAGTCATTCGCACTGGTGCCTTCAGTTCTACAGGCTCGCCTTGAAAGTCAACAAGTCTGAATTGCATGTCTTTCAAATTATGAGGACTAATGCGAATCCATTTACCTAAATGAGTTGCTATGACAGGAACGTTTGGAATGAACATTGAATTGACTGCATAACAGAAGGATTTATATTCTACTGAACCTTTACTATTAACTCCTGAAATACCTGTGACATTAGCTATTTTAGACTCAATGTACAAACAATTACCATAACATACGTATGGAACAGATTTCATCTCAATCGTTTTGTCAACACTTTTCAAAGGAAATGTCATATGGTATGCACCCAAAAGAAGTTGAACTCTATGACTCATTCGTGTTATCTTGAACTCTTTCTTGCTACTGAACTTCAATGTTCCCTCAGAAGAGAGTTCGACATCTATGTTGTCAATAGTTTCTTCATTTATGAGAGTACCTATGACTCCAGCAATTTTATCTATTCTATACTCTGCTCTGTTAGGAAATGTTATAAAACTTCTTTTGTCATCTATTTCAAACTCCATGAAATCTGTTTCATCTGTTATGACAAAAGTTGCGATAGTATTGAAGTCAACAACTCTGAAAGCAAGTGCTTCATTCTGAAGACCTAAGTTTGTTTGAAGCTTTACTGTCCCGTATTCGTTTGGGTCTGTACTTTGCAAATAGAACAACATTTTATTCTCATTAAAATATGACTATTGCTGCATATGCGTATGAAACAAATGAAGCAAGAAGAGCACATGAACTAGTAAACGAAAACTCAACTTTAACCATTGAAGGCAATGATTTAGTCATTGACGATGGAAAAACTAAAAAAGTCATTGATTTCGATACTTTTAACACTTATGACCCATTCATTACAACAAGCAAAGTTCCTATTATAAATGATGGAACGGTGCAATATATAAATTCTACAGTAGATGCCTCATTAGTGAAAGTATTAAATGTTCTCATTGAATTGTTAAAGAGCTTTCGATTTGACGACAACATTAAATGCCTAAAGAATTTAGTCATGAATGAGAAACAAATTCTCGGCGTTGCTGGTAGCAGTAATGATGTACACCTTATGACATTAGAATATTATAACGAACATAAAGATGAACTGAAAGGAGAGAAGGGTGACACCGGACCACAAGGAATACAAGGACCTCAAGGAATACAAGGAATACAAGGAATACAAGGACCTCAAGGCGAAAACGGTTTGGATGGAAAGGATGGAAAGGATGGAAAAACTGCTAAATCATGGATATGGGACCTTAAAATACTGGTTTAACAGCTGCTTCATATGGAGTTCTTCAATACCAAATCGGAAAGATATGGGCGGTACTTGGTGAAGAAGTTTTAAATGACGTTAAAAAATGCTTTGAACTTCATTTCAAATGGTTCGGATACTATTAAAACTTTATCTGGTTGGATGCAAGAAACAAGGAGTCAAATAGATACTGTAAGACGTATAGCAAAACAATGCACGTACGGGATTGGATACTTTACGACAAGCACAAAATACACTAAAGGAAGCAAATGATATTCTTGGCTCAGTATCAGACATGCATGAAGATTGGCTTAAAGTGTATTGACAAATCTTTAAAAAATCACAGTCAGTCTATTGCTGACTACAAGAAAAGTATAGATTTTTTACATAGTGCTATGGACGTACATGATGGAAGCATAAGGAACTTACTTAATGCTAACAATAACTTACCAGGAACTATTAAAGCATTTATAAAGTCCTTTGTAAAACCTGGTGCTCTAACATTTAGGTCTTTGAGAGCAAGAGCATTGAAGTCAAGAGATGCAGAAACTCCAACAGAACCTACAGAAGGAACTGAAACAACAGAAACTCCAAAAGAACCACCAAAAAACAGCTAATGAAATATTGTTCGAATATTTTCCAAGGTACTCTGTTCTCATTGCATACATTCAAGAAATACTTAAGAAAGCAGACTTGACTTTAGGAGATGATGAAAGTTCTGTATATCTTTCGTTCCAGTTTCAAATAGCAGAACTTTTGAGACAGATATGTTTAATGTATGACAACATCTCTGATTTCACAAGATATGATGACGACCATGACCCGAACACGGTGAAGAAGAAGTTTTACAAACATCCATTAAGACAGGAAAGGTTTTAACTCAAAGTCTCATTATTGACACCAAAGATGGCGAAGTGGACGTTCTTCAAGAGCTGAAGAAAAATACTTCTTCGGGAGGTGGTGGTAGGCATGAACTTGAAATAAATGAGATAGAAGAGAAATTAGCCGAAAAAGCAGATAAAGAACATAAACACAATATCTCCGATATAAATGAACTTCAAGCTACATTAAATAGTAAAGCAGATAAAAATGAACTTGACGCAATGAACAAAGTTTTGAAATCTCATAAACACAACATCTCCGATATAAATGAACTTCAAGCTACATTAAATAGTAAAGCTGACAAGAACCATGTTCATTATATAAGTTCAGATGAACAGATTATAACGGACTACCACGGATATTTAACACAGGGTGAAAAAGTGAATACGAAAAATGTTAATGAAAGAAGATATAAATTCATTCGTGCTAAAGGTTATGACATACACTGTACTGTACAGTATGACACAGGTATAGCACCACAATCATTTGGTTATAACGCTGAAATTTATGCTTCATACTTCTTTGTTAACGGTGTATTAGTTGAACCAAGATTTATGTTAAGAGTTAAGGCAAAAATAACGTTTGAAGATGCTATTAAAAGTAAAGCTGACAAAGTTGAACTCGAAGCAATGAACAAAGTTTTGAAATCTCATAAACACAACATCTCCGATATAAATGAACTTCAAGCTACATTAGACAGTAAAGCCGACAAGAACCATACACATAAATCCTTCACTACTGTTAGAGCAGACGACATAATATTGAACTTTGACCTTGGTTCAAGTGCACCATTAGAAAATCCAAGTACAAGCGTAAAAGATACACTAAACTCCTTAAATAGTAAATGTATGAATATCGAAGATCATGCCAGAAACTTTGAAGCACATGAACTACCAACAATGTTAGATAAGAAAGCTGACAAAACAGAGCTTCAAACATTAAAGACAGAAATACTTCAAACATTATATCCTACAGGCTCTATTTATACGTCAATGAATTCAACAAATCCAGCAACAGTTCTGGGTTTTGGTACGTGGGAGCATATTGTAGACAAATTCTTATACTGTGCTAACTCTTCAAAGCAAACAGGTGGTTCGAAGAAAATTAAAGAAGCAAACCTTCCACCGCACACTCATACAGGAACTACAAACTTTTCTGGCGACCATAGCCACTCATTAAGAGACCATCCATTATACAACTCAGAATATAAAGCTGGCAATGACGTTTTATCTCCATCTTATAACAATTCAGCAAAAAAGACTTTTCGACCAACTGAACCAGGAGGAAATCATGTCCATACTTTCACAACAAATCCAACAGGTTCGGGTGCAGATTACATGCCACCATTTATGACTGTATTTGCATGGTATAGAGTTCAATGAACGCGCTTGAGCCTAGAATAAAATCTTTAATTTTACATAAATGAGCTTGAAAGAAGTATTCGAACAACATCCATGGAGGTCATTTAAGAAGTTCAATGAAGCTGCAAAGAGTTGGGGATTTACTAACAGAGCTGAAGTGAAAAGGTTCTTTGACAAAAATGTTGTACATCAAACAAAAATAAACCCTTACGACTACTTTTTACCAATTTACTCCAACACTCCTGACGCATACCAATTTGACACTCTCATTCAAAGCAGAAAAGGAGGACATAAACCATTCCTCATCTTCATAAATGTTAACACTCGTAAAGCATATGCATATCCAATGAAAAATAAAGGAACTCGTGAAGTGTTAAGAGTTTTACAAAAGTTTGTAGCAGAACATAACCCAAGTACTTTAACATCAGACCAAGACAGTGCATACCTCAGCAACGAAATCACAGAATTTCTCATTAAGCATAACATAACTCACTACACTACTGAAGACCATAACCATAACATACTCGGTATCATTAACCGCTTCATAAGAACGCTCAGAGATTTAAACCAAGAGCGAGACTTTACCGAAGAAACAATGAAACATTTTCTCGAAGTATATAATTCCTCAACACATTCTACAACAGGACATACACCAAATTCAATGACACAACAACAAGAAGAAAAGTATATACAAAAGAAACGAAGCCAAACACAAAATATCAGAAATTCAACACAATTTACCCTCATTCCTGGTACAAAAGTTCGTGTAGTTCTTGACGACAAACCGTTGACAAAGAAACGTTTAAGGTTAAGTCGAAATTATTATATCGTAGACTCTACGCAAGGTAATGGATATCTTATAAAAGCTGCCGACGACTCTATTGCGTTTTATCCTCGTCATAAATTAGTTGAAAGTAGTAATGGCAAACTTGCTGAAACCATTGACGAAGCAAAGCGAGGAGTGGTTATTGAAATACTTGGCTATAACACAAACGATGACACTTATAAAGTAAGATATGAAGGAGGTGTTGAAGATGTTATACCATCTAAGAACTTGAGAGAGTCGAAGCCAACACATCTGGGACCATTAGAGCGGGAGTACTGGAAAGACAAAAATATGCCAGAAAGAATAAGAAAATTCTTCTAAACTTTTTCGTTGGATGTAAATCAGACAAAAATATATTATAGGTGAAGAGGTGAGATTTCACCTGTTTTTTCACCTCTTTTTTCACCCCGTGAATTTTCATGAATTTTCACAAAAGACCAAAAATAATGTTTAGGTGAAGAGGTGAGATCTCACCTGTTTTTTCACCTCTTTTTTCACCTCTTGAATTTTCATGAATTTTCCCGAAATAAAAAATAAAGTTAGTTTTATTTTTTTTTATTTTTTATTTGTATAAAAGATATGATTTCAACAATCGGCACAACAACAATTCAAACAACAACAGCACCAAACTCGTTAGTCATGAATCCTACGTCAATGTTAGTAGAGATGAAAAACTTCATTCCTTCTTCATATACTTTCGAAACAAAAATCCAGAAGATAAAGCAAGAACTTTTAACAAGTAATTTAGACTGTAGTGCGAAAGATGAAGAAAATGAAGAATATCTTTATGAAATGCAGGACATTATTGACCATTTACCCAAATTGCCTGAAATCCAACAACAAAAACTCACTATTCCTGAATTCGACGAAATTGAAGTGAAACCAACTGACTCAGTAGAAATAAAGAAGTTCATACGTAAAGTAAATTATGAATTCCTTGGTTTTCATTGCAACCATAAAGTTATGGACAAAGATTGCGACATGGTATATAAAAACATTTCTGACATATATAAATCTGAGGAGTTTAAGACTTACGATAACTTTGTTTCATTAGTTGCAAAATGTGTTTGGGAAATAAGAGATAAAGATAGAAGAGGCAAAGTATGGAACGAACAAATAAGACCCGCTATGTTTTGAGATGAAGAGAGCAATTGACGCCTTAGTTGTTTTAGCTGGTTTTATTTCAATGTATAACGCAAAAATGAACCCGCAATGTTCAAAATGTAAGGCAGCAATTAGGAAATATAACTACTCAGTCAAAGAGATAGAAAGAATGAGAAACGACTATGCAGACTTAAAGAAAGAAGCAGAAAAGCCAGCAGAAGATAAAATGAACATGTTAGAATTTCTGAACAAAAACTATCCAACAGCAGAAGATTTCCTTCTATCTGACGTCAAGAAGAAGTATAAAGAAACCTTCGGTATCGTTAAAACTTTTGACATACTGACAGAAGAAATAGAAGCTACGAAATTGTTTAGGATTTCAAATATACATCGTACAATTCATGTAAAACGCTTATAAATAACTGAGGTGAGAAAACAGGTGAAAAAACAGGTGAGATCTCACCTCTTCACCTAAACATTATTTTTGTTCAAAGCTTCCACGAGAGAAAAGATTCCTCATTCGCTAAGGATTCCAAAAATGAAAAAATCATTGATTTCGGCTGAGAAAAAACAGCAAAACCCTTCTTCCACGGGAACAAAGAAATAAAGAAGAAATAAAGAAGAAATAAAGTAAATTTTTTATTTATTCCCGTGGAAGATAGAGCATTTTTATGACACTTTTTATTCACGACAAACAAGACAAACAAAGAAAATAAGAAAATACGGCGCTGTCGCGGTTCGAACCACAGACTCTGACCCCTCCATAACACCACCTTAGACCACTGTGCTACGTAGCCTGTCGACATAAGATTTTATAAATTGCATATTTGACGTAAATTTATTTCCATCTAGCTTCCCACCGCATAAGATATTCATACGTGTTTGTAAGACATTCATTAAACTTCTTTTCTATTGCATCTAATCTTGCGTTATTTTTTTCAATAGCTTGTCTGTATTCTTCATCATCTCCAGCAGTGTTTGGGTCTTCACGTTTAAAATATTCATTGTTAACCAATTTTTTATCTACAAATTTTATTAGTGTTTGATTCACTTCGTTATGATAACGGTCATATTCTTTCAATACGTAAGTGAAGACAAAATGCGTCGTACCTTCAATCTTAAAGCTTAAAGAACTTTCAACACAGTTTTGAGGGTCTGTCAGTGCGTCAATGAGATAGTATTCGAAGTCAGTCAATAATCTTTTTAAAGTCATTTCATACAGGATAAAATTTAATGTTGTGAAGAAATAGTGTTTATCTCAGAAAAAATAACGTTAGTTTTATTTTTATTTATTTTTTTTATCCGGAATGTAAAGACAGATATGTCAACATCAGAGAACACAACAACAGTTATAGTTCATGAAGCAATAAATGAAGAATACGAATACATACAGTATAACAAACAATTGAGACTCATTCGTTCGGTCAAAGACGATATGTACCAAATGCAAAGTATTTTGACGGCTTGTTTTGCTCCAGATACTAAGCTTCCTAAAGACTGGTTTAGGAACCAAAGCACCATAGAACTATTAAGTGAAGCACAGCGAGACGTACTTTTTTCTGAAAACAGTGAAGAACAGCGAGTAGGTAAAAAATCCCAGTCGCCAAAACTCTATGAAAACCGTGAAAAATTGCCAAACGGTTTGAGAGGATATTATGTTCATAGACTTTTAGTAAATGCAGTTGCAATGTGGGCTTCACCACGTTATGCTTGAATATTTACAAACTTCTTGACGAACTTCACAGACAAGAACGTGGAGAGATGGAAAAGAAACTTCAAGCAAAAGATGAAGTCATTGAATCCAAAGACAAAAGCATACAGAAAAGAATACCACGTTCAGTACCAAAAGGAAAGGAAAAGAGTTATAAGTATATGATATATACTGAAGAGTTGGAGAAAGAAGAAGATAAAGATATGGTTATGTTGCATTTAGTCAGAAGAAACAACAAGAGCTTTTATGACCTTGCTAAGATTTACAAATCTGACAGAAACTGGTTCTATCGTGAAAACTTACCGATTTCAATGACACCGAATGAGCAAATAAAAGAAATTGTCAAAAATACTCTTCCTCAAACACACTATGACATCAAAGGTTGCACAATACTTACCTTCAAAGAAGACTTACCATTACTGAAGGAAAAAATAACAGAATATTTCGACAACTTCAAAGAGGAAGAATGAAAACTTACCGATTTCAATGAAAAACATTAACTTTTTTTGACGAAGTGAAGATTTGCACTTTGTCAAAATTTAATGAAAAACATTAACGTAAACATTAACGATAAAATTTATTTCCTGGACTGTTGTCAAAATGTCATGTTGTCATCATTTTTAAAAGAAGTTAATTAACCTGGTAGCACATGGTGACGTGGTGACACCTTCAGTTCTTCAAAAATATATTTTTGTTCAAATAACGTCAGGGTCAATTTCTTCAACCATTTCACTTCCTTCGTCAATGTCAATTGAAGCTTCTTCAACCTTTGGTAAGAATTTCTGTATAACATCTTTGTTCGTTATTGTCTTCAGAGATGAAGGATAATATTTCACATTTGTTTCACCCTTCTTATATTCTTTCTGTTCGGAAAGATTCATAGCAATACTGAAGAAGTCAATGTTAGAGTTCTTTATGACAGTATAATGAGTATCTTTGACATTCACGAAGAAACTCTTTTGTTTCAAAACTACTGCTAACTCTTGTGAAGTATAACGTTTGCGGTCAATGACGATAGCTAATGGTCTGACATACTGACCAAACTTAGATTCTTTCACAAACTTCTTGTTAAAGATAATATTAACATTTGAAGCATTATTGAACTCATTCTTGATGGCAGTAGCGAGAGCATTGTATGAAAAGAACTTGCAATCTTGCATGTGTTTCATTAAAATAAAAATATTAAATTATTTTGAAAAATAACTTAAAAAAAATCTAATCTAATTTTTTCAAAAATATTTTTTTTATTTCCTACTAAAGATGTATCGGAAGTTGTCTAAGTTAGAACACTCGGAAATAAAACAACTTCTTACAGAAGCTAATATAGATGTTGCAAAGCATTACGCAACAAACAAAAAAGCACTCGCTGACTTCATTAAAGACTATAATGGTGCAATAAGTTATGATAGAATTCATGAGTTCATAAAGCCGCAACGCGGCGAGGACGAAGTCCATGCAAGAGCATTTCCTTTAAATGACATTGCTATTGACTTATATCATAGACGTTCAGTACCTCATGAAGTAAGAAGAGAAATGTTTGACATAACAAATGCAAACGTTGGTGAAACAAGAAGAGCTGTACCACATGAAGTAAGAAGAGAAATGTTTGACATAACAAATGCGAACGTTGGTGAAACACGAAAGAGAGATGACACACTGAAACAACAGAGAAGAGAGATGTTTAAAAGTGCTATAGAACAGTTCGCAAAGCTAACGATGTCATTCGTTCCATTGACGACAAACCAAAAGAAGGTGAGAGATGGTTAAAGAAAGATGAAGAGAATAGGAAGAGAAATGTGAAGTCAGGCAATAGACTCATTGACTTTAACATCGAAGCTTTAGATGAACCAAACAGAGACTACTTACACAAACATTTTGGTAAGGTTTTCATGAGACTCTTAGAGAAAATTAAAATAAACTCCCAACAGAGATGGATGGTATGTTATAAACTTGGTGGAAAGTATGAATGTTCTACGTTAAACCTCAATAATATTGGAACATTACTACATCAGCTCTTGAAGGAGAACTTTATATCAGAGATAGAAGCAAATGCCGCAGGTATTGTTGAAATGCACTATGACTTCTTCTTGACAAACATAAAGAATCTTACCGAAATAAAGATGTATGATTTAACAGAATATGAAGGCTTAACGATGTCAGATGTAAAGAAAGGCAAACCAAAAAAGAGACCATATAGAGATGAAAGCACACTGACAAATGACCAGAAAGCCATTTTGGAAGCTCTTAAGCAAACAGGAAACCCAGCACTTATAGAAAGCTTTTGGAAAGATAATGGTGAAAAGAAGTTTTATAAGAAGAGAAGCGGTCAGTTCTGGAAGTATCTTTGCACATTACCTATAAATCTTGAACGCTACCAAATCTTCAATGAACTGAACAAAAGAACTGCAACACTTATGACAGAGGACAATTGTTTCGTTTATGCTTGCATTCAGGCTGGAGTAAATGAAGAAACTATTGACCACATGAGAGAAGTCATTCGTGTTAGAGACTTTCCTCAAAGTAAAGTACAAGAAATTTCTGACGCAACAGGTATATCATTTAATGTTACCATTGGTTATTTCAATGACTCAAGACATAATGAAATAAAGAGATATATACCAAAAGAATGCGAAACTGTTAGAACTATTGACTTACTTCTTGTTGAAGACCACTACATGCTAAATGAAAGATTACCAATGACAACATACTTCATTCGAAACTATAAAGAAATTCTCAAAGCTTGTGGTGGAATGAACATTGAGAAACAGATGAAGATTTATACAAAGAGAGAGATAAATATGTAGTTCGTTATGATAGAACAACACCGTTATGGGATGTTATGAAAACATTGTGGGAGTGCAAATATTTCGAACCTATTTCTTATGGAGAACTTTTCACATATACTACTGACTTATATAAACAGAACCTTGCACCATTTAAAGATTTGACATATGCTCCAAAGTATTGTGTACAACTGAAGAAGAAAGCAGAGTCAAAAGAAGTAAATAAAGCTAAATGTAAATTCACCTGAGCACGTTTTCTTTGCTGACTTTGAGTGTAGTACGGATGGCTTTCATAAAGCTTTTAACATCTGTTATGACAGTGAAGATGGTTCAGTAGTGAAAGCATTTGGGGTCAAAACTGTGCAACAGAATTTTTGGAAGACTTCCTGACAAGAGTTTAATATATTTTCACAACCTCAGTTATGACATAAACTTCATCTTAAGACACATGACAGAAGTGAAAGGAACTCCCATCATTAAAGGTTCACGAACAATGCAAATAACTGGCTTATATAAAGGACGGGCAATTATTATAAAAGACTCTTACAGTGTTATAAATAAGAAGCTTAAACTATTTCCTGCTATGTTTAACTTACAAACAGGACCGAAAGAAGTATTTCCATATAACTACTACAGCAGTGTTTTGTTAGCAAATGACAACAGAACTGGTGTCATTTCTGAAGCATGTAAGTTTATCCATGATGCAGATACATTTATGAAGAACATAGATTCCATCAAAGGTTGCAGAATAGATGAAAACCACTTCGACTTAGAAAAATATAGCACGTTTTACTGCAAACAAGATGTAAGAATTTTAAGAGAAGGTTTTGTAAAGTTCCGCAATGACTTATTGAAAGAGTTTGATTTAAACGTTTATGACTACGTTAGTATTTGTTCTATTGCTAACAAATTGTTTGAGAACAGAGTATACTTCCCGAATGGAAATCTTTATGACCTCTCAAATAAACCAAGAGAATTTATTTCGAGATGCATTCAAGGTGGAAGATGTATGTTGTCAGATAACATGAAACAAAAGAGCAAAAAGAAACTCATTGCTGACTTCGACACTGTTTCATTATATCCTTCAGCTATAGCAAGACTTTATACTTTAGAAGGTATTCCAAAAGTATTGAAGGATGAATGTTAAGCACAGAGTATCTCATGAGACATTTATTCGATGATGACCAAAAGGAACCCATTGGTGAAAAGTTTATGTCTGGCTTCTTTGTTCTCATTAAGATAACAGAGATTGGTATACCCAGACACTTTCATTTAATAGTTTGCGACCCTGAACTAAATCCAGAACTTAACGTTCCAAGAAGTTCAAACACTTGCTGTCTCATGTATGTTGACCATATAACATTACAAGACCTCATAAAATATCAAGGTGTCAAATGTGAAGTGTTGCAAGGATACTATTACGATGGAAACAGAGATATGAGAATAAGAGATGAAGTAAAGAAGTTGTTTGAGTTAAGGTTAAAGTATAAGAAAGAAGGAAACCCCTTACAAGAAATTATAAAACTCATTCTGAACAGCATTTATGGCAAAACTATTCTATCTCCTATTGAGTCAAAAATAACCATAGTAAATGACAAAGATGCTATAAGATATGCTATAAGAAATTACAACCATATAGTGAAGTTCGAAGGTTTGGATGGTTCAGATAAAACTATTTTCAAGCTAACGAAAAGCATTTGCAGACACTTTAACTTCTGTCCACTTGGTGTTAATATTCTGTCTATGTCAAAACGTATTATGAATGAAGTATTCTGTACTGCAGAGGACATGGGACTTCAAATTTTACCAGGAGGATAGACAGTATGCATATTATATAATGAAGACATCCCAAAGCTTGCAGCAGAGTTTAAGAAGAGATACGGTCGCGAACTTATAGGAAAGAACCTTGGTCAATTTCATAGCGACTTTGCAGAAATAACACCTGGAAAACAAAGTTTAGCTTATAAAAGTATTTTCTGTGGAAAGAAGACCTACATAGACTTACTCACTAACGATTTAAATGAAGTTGCATTTCACTGCAGAATGAAAGGCGTGAAGCAAGATGTTATTGCTTTAACCGCTAATGAAATGTTTCCTGAAGCTATACAATGCTATTACAATGAAGATAAGAACATTCACATACCTGTTGGAACATATGACAAAGACTCTGAGTTCAGTTTAATGAAACTTTACAAAGCACTTATGATGGTCAAGAGATTGCATTCGACTTATGTAAGTCATGTCAACCTTGCTTTGCTGAAAAGTTCAACTTTTCAATAACGACTAAAACAAGCTTTATTCGTAAGTTGAAGTTCTGAGGTCATTTATTTTTGTCAGCAATGAGGTCATTCGTGATAAAAATAAAGCTAGCGTAGATTTTACAATACTGCGATGGTAGAGTTTAAGAGTTGTGCTTCAATGTAGAGACAGTCCTTATGGTCTGGAGGTAAGAACACTGGACATTTATGGTCATGAGTGGAGAACATGTCTATCCAAAACTCACGATTGAAGCCAGTTAATTTATAGTATTTAGGGTTAGGAAGTGGTGAAGTTCTTGTATGACCAATGAACTCATTTTCAACTCCCTTACTTAAGTTTGAATATAATATAGCTTGCTTTCTATCCCAAATGCCAGGTGTTACAATCTTTGAAAATTCATTTTTCCTCGGAAGCATTGCATCATAATTGAAAACATTCTTAAAATCATCACTTGGTTCGGAGATTTGAAATCTTATACGTAATGGATTTTTTTCTCTTTAGCGACTTCATTGAATGGTGAGAATACAATGAATTGACAGTCATGAGTTCCATCTTCATTTTCATTAAATTCATAATGAAAGTCTATAAGTTGTGGCTGACTACCTTCTTCTTTCAGTTGTGCAAGAAACTCACGTAAAGGCTGTAAAGTTTGTACTTCAATGTTGAACTTTTTCTCGAACATCTCATTAAATGAAATCATACATTGCAACAATGTTGTATCGTCTTTAAAGTATTTGTATATGTGAATGTTTTGGGCGCTTAAAGACTGTTCGTCATTTTCTATCTCGACTTGAAGTATAAAGTCAACCTTTCTGAAAGCACGTGTTATATACATAGATGTTATGCCAATGTACTTCTCTTCATTTATGTTCACAATCCAGTCTGTTGGAAACTTAAACGTTACTCTGTTCCCCTTTATTTTGACGTCAGGGTTTTCACTACTGAACACAACAGATAAAGGTATTTGTCTATACATTTAGTTCGGATAAAAATAAACCATTTACTCTTTCTTTGCTTCAGCTTCCTTTGCTTTTTGTTCTTCTCTAGCTTTCTTCGCCAGCAAACGTGGGTTCTTTTGTCTTCCAGCAGCTAATGCAGCAAGTTGTTTTTCACTAAGTTTTCTCTTTGGTCTCTCTGGCTTTTGTTCTTGTTTTTGTTCCTTCAGTTCGGATAAAATTTGCTCGCGAATTTCTTTCTTCAATGCTTCAACATCTATGACCCCTTGGGTCTTGTCCGTAGGGCTTGTCTGAGTCATTTGACTGCAGAAAAAACAAAATTAAAACTTTAACCGATGTAAAATGAGCTTGTCAAAATCAGAGCGAGAGTCTATTATATTAAATGACGCCAGAGGAATACAACATCCTTTCTATTATGTAAGTCAGAGTAAAGATGGTAAAATATACGTAAGAAAAAGAAAGGTTCCATTAGCGAATGCAGAGAGCGACAACATTAAGGTGCATGGCAAGGTGAAGTCCACGAAGCCCATATAAAACCTTCTATTCAAACTGAAAAGTCAATAGAACAAGAAGAAAAGAAGCCAGATGTACTTTCAATAACGAACCAAGAGCTTATTGCAAAGTTCGTGAATTTCATTGAAAAACAAACCGAGTCAAAGAACCCTGACCCGCCAGTGAAAGAAGTTGAGACAAAAGAGAATGTACAGTTCATTGAAAATGTCAAGAAACAACTTCCACCACGAATGCCAAGAAGAAGAGTGAGAATAATGAAGTAAATAGATATTTTTATCTGAAGTAAATACATGCAGAACGAACAGCTAAACGAATTTACTCCAGCAGAGCATATTCATCAGATTCGCTCATATTTCGATATCATAGACAATGCAGTTCAAATTGGTGACACTAATAGAAAATATTCTGACGCAAAGATTCCATCACAACCTGGAACTGCTAAAGATAACACATGGGTAACATTCAATCTCTCACCTCCTGGTGAAAATATGTTGGACCTTTACAATACATTCATTACGTATAAAATGGAAGGTCAATTTATTGTAGATAAAGAAATTGGTTCAGGTTCCAATAAAACAAACCCACCAGGATTTTGGATTGGTTTCGATGACGCTTTCTATGCAGTTGCTGGATATCAAATCCTTGCAAATGGTCGTATCGTATATTCTCAAGACAACGCAAGAGAAGAAGCATATATAACTTCAAACTCACAAACTACCGAACAAATAAAGAAAGTAGATGTTTTCTCAAAGACTCGACATGAAGATGTATGGAGTCATTCGGGAACATGCAGAACAGGACAAATTGTTAGTGGTCCAATTACAGCAGGAAAATCATTTGATTTTAAGCTTCGTTTAAGAATTCCTGTTAGAAGATTCCTTCCATTAGAAGCTATTCGATTTATTCCAGCTTTTGCAGGAAACATTCAGCTTAAAGTAAAGTTCAGTAGCGACGCCTTACAATGCACATCTATATCTGTAAATGATATCATTGCTTTCAATCCAACTCTTAAAGTTGCATTTGCTTCAGATTCAAATCCACCGACAAATAAATTTGTTCCATGGAATGAACCATTCACTATGATAACGAAGGCAGTAGAAGCTAGTGGAACAGTTACTATTACAACTGTAACCCAGCAACTATTTCGAACAAAGATGGATTTTAATGAATGTTTCATTCATCCAAAGTCATTCTCTTTAGACCCTAACATTTATACAGAACTTGTAGAACATTATACAAACGAGGCTTTATGTTTTCCTGTTAAAGTTATGGATTGGATTCCTATGGACGGTTCATTCTCAAAGAATACAGATAGTTCAAGTGCAACATTTACAGCAGCTTATACGCCTATTAATGTTAAAAGTATTTGGGCACTATTTAGAAAGAAAGACAACTATTATGTTAATTTTGAGAACCCTAAGTTTAAATATCTTCAGCTTTCCATGGGAGCTTATGGAAATATGCCTGCAGAACCTGAAAAATCATATGGACCTGTATTTTATGAAATGGTTGCGAACGCTTGCAATACAAACAATGATATGATAGGATTTAATGAAGATGTTATGAGGTCATTGGTGGATGATGGTAGTGTGGAACATAAATGGGATAGCTATGACAACACACATTTCTTATGTGGTTTTCCAACAGAAGTGGACTTTTGCTTCCAGCAAGGTCAAACATCTACTGCTCCAATAACATACAAATTGTCTGTTAAAGGACCTATTGAACTAGCAACTGAAAATGTACCAAAGCCACTTATTGGATTTATGAGGGATTGTTGCTTTGCCATTCAGGTGCGTGCTAATGGCATCCCAATAATAAGATTAGATGACTATAACTTAGCACGGACGACAGTGAGGAATAAAGGATGAACGTTTATTTTTAAAGCTTATAAATGAGTTCTTCATCAAGCTCTCGTGAACCTTCACCATCTATGAAACAAACTTTACCAAACGATTATGGAGCACCTATTGAATATTTCTTACGAGCTGCACAATGGCAAAGAGCAGTCTCACCAAGGTTAGGTGTTCCACCAGCTCCTGTCAAAAATAGCATTTGGTCAAGTCCTTATATAAATATGGTCTCCCACTAGGTTTGCTAGCTACAGCAGGAGCAGTTATGATGTTGAAAAGAAATAAAGCAAATGTTGTAAATAATACTGAAGTAGCTGAAGTTAAACAAACTCCAACGCCTTCACAAGCAAACCTTCAATGACTCCTGAACCTATGGAAGTACAAACTCCTG